ATAGAATAGTTTGAGTGTATAACTTTTATTAATGAGCTTGGCGGACATATTTCTGGCCTAATTACCAGGGTGCACTCTTCAAGCGCCATTGAAAACAGTGTAAAATCAGCACTGTTCAGGGGCCAATAACATGTATACCAACATCCCTCGGATTTCTGAAACACAAATTAAATTATTGTCTGGTCTGTAATTTTTCAATTTCTGTTGAATTTTTTTGTGGGTTAACCAATTACGTTTTTAATTATTCCCACAAAACAAAATAACCCCGGAAAAGTGATTTTGTCTGATTGCAGCCATTTTTCAAGTAGCAACCCTCAACTTTCTTGGGCACTTAGGACCATTTTCAACCGTAGTTTCTATCCATTCTGCTCTCATATGAAAGCTCAAGGACCCAGGAAGTTGATCCTGGTAAAGATTTACACAATCTCCTTTTTTCAAAAGATACTGTGAGAGACACTTTTAATGCTAATGAGCTGGCCGGAAATTCTCGCTTGAATTAGTGGACTGCACCCGGATGTCAGATGTCCAGACTTCAGTTGGTCTCAGACGTTGTATTCTCATAGGGGGCTACCCCCAGAACTCAGTGTGGAGTCTGACGTCCGCTCCGGGCCCCTCCCACGTTCGTGGGAGCGGGGCGGAGATCGACTCCGTTGTAATTCGGGGGGTAACTATTCCATACTTATTCCACGAGCAAGTAACAGCACTTTCACATCCCTATGTAATAAATTATCGAGTAGGTGTCGTAGTGCACCTATATCGTAGGCCTTATAGCATCATGAGGAAAGTATACGAGTCATTTATTTACTTAACAGCGTATTTTAATTGTTTAATCGTGTTTATACAATGAATTCGTGAATAAATGCCACAACACAATGCAACTCTGTTGAGTTTCTTATTATTCTAAAGCAAGACAAAGAAAGCGAAAATAAATCCTGCCATCCAGTCCCATGATGCAATGAGAATATCAACACGGTGGTTTATAGAACGCCGTTACTGTGTCTGGTAAGGCCTATGCCAGTCAGTGCTCGACGCCTCGTGTTACGGTGCGCAGCTGATACGTTTAATATGCTGACAACTAGCATACCGACCAGCTTAATTGGCTGATGCACCTCAAGAACATGGATTATAGGGATGGACCAGTGCTACCACCCAGAGTTATTCGTCAAATTCCACTGGTATATTTTCCAAAATCAGCGGGTGTAGCCGAAGGGAAGGGGACCGTGATGGCACACCCCATCATAAAAATCGCCCCCATTGAAATCTAGAAAACAAAGAAAGTAATAATTACATAAGTATTAAGAAAATACTAGGGCTTCTAACCCCCCCAGCTCAATTTTCTCTACAATTTGCTCTCCTTGTTATTTTCCATTTCGCTAAATTTATACTGAATAGATGGGCTATCAGTCAAACATTCCGACGTACCAAAGTACAGTCGGTTGAAAAATCAGACGTTAATTTTTAATTTAATACCGATGTGACTAGTGGCACGTGTAGACCGTCAGATAAGCGTGTTTTCGAGTTCCAGATATCAGTTACAAGATAGTATAGCAAATACCATAAGAGCAGAATAGCGAATACAATGAGAGTTATCCTCGGTGTTCTGTCGTCATTTTAGCGACGCTGTTGTGAAAGTTGCACGGACTCTACAAGGTTTCATTACTACAGTTTGTATATGCTTGCATCTACGCAAAAGCGAGGAATCGTACTCGATCTACATCATGCGTTCGTTGGCTTCGCTATTCAGCTTTGGAATAGCAGGTAAAGCTTTTGATGCAACTTTTCTACGCTCAATAAGCAAGCGTGGATTTATCTGAAAAGACAGAATGTAAAGACTTTCTTCCAACTATCCAATCCAATTCTTACATAATCCCATCAACTCCACTGCATTTCTCTCTTTCCCTCATCACTCATAAAAAATTGTTACGAAGGTCTCAAAAGAGACGATTATTGTCACTGGTCAAATTATTAGTGTAGCGTTCCGTTAAACAGACAAGACGGCATTTACCGTGTTTTCCGAATGGCATGTCTTTTTGAGATGAGATAAATATCGTCATTTCGGACACCCTTTCGTATATCCATGGCCGTTATGTCGTGGCTTCATTCGTGTTTTCATTGTTACGTATAAATAAAACCTCAAGTCCATTATTATTGTTTTGTTCATCTACTAAATTAGTTTTACTGTAGAAATAACAAAACACAAGCTTGTCGCAGCATGCAGAATTAGTTGGTAAGAAAAAAATGTTTAAAAAAACTTATACTTTATCGGTAATAGATTCGATCAAGTCAAATCACTTTTAATTCCTAAATTCCCTGAACCATTTATATGCTTACATGCAAATAGGTCTTGACTTAACACTGTTGCAAGGCATTGTATTATCTGTAATGGTTATTAGCATTTCCAAGCTTTCTTTTTTTTAGATCTGCTAACACTTTCTTAATTGTAGTTGTCGTTTTGATGGATTACTGCGTTGCACAAGTATCAGAACCGATGACGGTGAGTATTATAGTTGTTGCTGTTTCTGCTGTTGTTGCTGCGTTGTACTTCCACTGCTTCCGATGGTGTTGCTGTTGGAGGTGCTGCAGCCGTTAGTGTTGCCTGCTGCTGCTTCTCAGTTACCACTTCTGTTGCTATTTCTGCTGCTGTTCTGGTGTGTTGTTTTTGTTGCAGCTGTTGCAGCCTTTAGCGTTGCTTGCTGCTGCTTCTCATTTACCACTTCTGTTGCTATTTCTGCTGTTGTTCTGGTGTGTCGTTGTTGTTGCAGCTGTTGCAGCCGTTAGTGTTGCTTGCTGCTGCTTCTCATTTACCACTTCTGTTGCTATTTCTGCTGTTGTTCTGGTGTGTTGTTGTTGTTGCTGCTGTTGCAGCCGTTGGTGTTGCTTGCTGCTGCTTCTCATTTACCACTTCTGTTGCTATTTCTGCTGTTGTTCTGGTGTTTCGTTGTACTGCTGCTGCTGTTGCAGCCGTTAGTGTTGCTTGCTGCTGCTTCTCAGTTACTGCTTCTGTTGGTATTTCTACTGTTGTTCTGGTGTGTGGTTTTTGTTGCAGCTGTTGCAACCGTTAGTGTTGCTTGCTGCTGCTTCTCATTTACCACTTCTGTTGCTATTTCTGCTGTTGTTCTGGTGTGTCGTTGTTGTTGCTGCTGTTGCAGCCGTTAGCGTTGCTTGCTGCTGGTTCTCATTTACCACTTCTGTTGCTATTTCTGCTGTTGTTCTGGTGTGTTGTTTTTGTTGCAGCTGTTGCAGCCGTTAGTGTTGCTGCTGCTTCTCAGTTACCACTTCTGCTGCTGCTGCTGCTGCTGCTGCTGCTGCTGCTGCTGCTGCTGCTGCTGCTGCTGCTGCTAGTATCACCCAATGTCCACGAGACAAAGACTGGAGGAATTCCTCCAGTTTTCCGGAAATAGCCAAATATTCCAAAGTCGTCCCGTCCATATTCGGCATGTTCGGATGGTACCGTTGATATTCGGTAATTCCCTCTGTCTGTACTGTCCGCAGAGTCCCGAATTCTGCAGGGGCTTGAGACCACCCATGTGCCCGAGAATTCTCGATCCACAGTGCACCAGTGACGGGACCAAGTATGACAATGTGTGCTTGCTGTGCGGAGCCATTAGAAACGGCGAACAACCGGAGGACGTCTCCTACGAACCGTGTCATGAAAAGGAGGGACACAAATCTCAGTAATCATTGACTGAAAAGTTGAAAATTGATGTTGACTTATTGTGAAATGGTTAATTTTGATTTCTATCAATAAATAGAACATTGCGATGTTGAATTTCATCACTACGCTGTCGTGGACTCAAATGATATGTTGAGAAACCACAGTTATGGAAATAATAGGCCTAGGTTTACATAATGAGGAAACCTCAAAGTCTTGATTCTAAAAAAAAGCTTTATACAAACATAATTTGCAGCCGGTGCATCACTGAGGTCTGAAAGTTGGTCAACCGAGGTATAAAGCCAGGAAAAGGCTGGACGCGTAGCAAGCCCATCAAAACAAAACAATGGATAATTGATACCAGTATATATAATGCAAGCTTCCTTGTTATCGGGGAAACTACATAAAATTTAAAAACACGCCAACAACCGACCTTCTTCTGTGTAACCGTTATGTAAACTTGTTAAATGAAGTATCAAATGTCAATCTAACGGTTGAGGGATATTGAGTAATCATTTTGTAGTATCTTTTGCAGATTCTTTTGTTCAGAGTTCATTAATATTGTATTCATTATCTTATTAAGCGCAAAAATACGATGTTCAAATGTGCTTCGGACAAATGCCAAAGGATCTGCCCACAGAGCAATGACAAAAGTGTTGAATTTTGCGGATGGAAAGAAACCGGAAAACCTGGAGAAAATGTGCTAGGTATACGAGAACAACTCGATTCTCATACAAGTCATGTCCAAGGCTGGGAATGGAACCCGGTACCACTCCAGACATCCGACTTGCTGAGATCCTGACATATTTAATCTCACAGTGACAAGATGTTTCATATAAGATATCGACATCCCGAGTTAATTTATTACAGAATAACGAT